TCTTACCAGACGCCTGGAATATTCTGACATTATATTCGGGAATAATATTTCTAATTTGGTTTTACAAAGCTGAATCGTCCGAGCCTCTGGGCCTCTGTTGAGATCTGGCTTATGTGGTCAGCGCGTACGCTCGCTTACTACGTTTGCAAATGCTGCGACGAGGCTTACTTGGGTCGAGAGCGGGGTCCCTTACCTACGTATAAACGAGTGGGTTCTTCAGAGTCGTGAATAGTCTGCTTCGGGTCGTTCTGCGATTGTGCTCGAACGTCTCTGGGGACGCCAACGGTCGTGTGCTTGGGAGATGGGCGAATGGGCTGCGCCAGCAAACACGGTTGGGACGAGAAAGACAGAACCCGCAAACAGTGCGAACGAGATTTCGCTATCGTCTGGGGGGTTGGGCCTCGACGGAAGGCTAGAGTGGAATGTTGGGACGATGAAGGTCGAGTCGAAGAATTCAGGGGCAGGGACACGGCAAAGCTCGAACTCTTTTCCTTTACGTTGGGCCAGCCACATTAAACTACTCGCATCATATCACTCTCTCAACAGGCGTAACGTATTTAGAACAGGGGAGGCTCGAATACATCATTCTTACGTCTATGCCACTTTGGCCCATTCAGCGCGAGCAGCGGACAGGAAACAACGTGGTGAACGCAATCCACCCGGCTGGTTATCACCACGGAGCCCGACATGATCCTAGCCTGGTTAGAAAGCTGTTACTTGTGTCATCTAGTGATCAGACTGTCTGAATAGGCGATGTATGTCCCTATTTGTGCGGAGAGATGGCCGTCATCGTCAGAGTGAAGTGAGGTTAGGATTCGAATCGCTCCATCACCAAACAGCGAAACATTCTCAGTAGATAACGACTCGGGTTGGTCGCGGAGAAACTCAATCTGAGCGAGGGAGAGGGCATGTCGAGATACGACACGGGTACGGCTGTAACGCTTTCGATTCGTGGGCCATCTAAACTGCTATCGATACCACACATGCTCTCGTTCACTATACAAGGTCAGACATTGCTATACATGCTCGGGTATGCAACCAGAAGGAGTAACGGACATGGCCGCAAAGAAGGTTGGGGGCGATGGAGGAGAGAGTGACTCATTTCCTCACGCCATAACCATGCCTCCCTCACTTCTAACGAAGTTTTCCAGCTTGGACATCTTCTCTAGCCAATCACCTAAGGTTGATGACAAGGTTTCAATCTGATGACGTGACAGGACTCGTGGTTGGACCCATGTTATGTGCACTTTCGCTGCCGGTTCGTCTATGGTACCAGCAATCAGCTTTAGACTAGAGAGGATGCGTTGCAATAGTAAGGAGAATGTCAGAATATCGTGTTCGAACACGTGAAGGTGGACATGTACCTCAACGCTTTCATCACCAAATGTTCGACTTCTACTAGCGGTGTCTGTGTCTCTTCAGCGATCGTCTGGAAGGAAAGCGTCCTCTCGGACGACTTTCGACGGAACACCGCCTCGATCAGTGCCATGAGACAGATCTTCTGTCGTAAGAAGGGGTATGATTGTTGGAGTATTGGCTATTGAACATTGAGATCAGTGCGTCATAAACCGTACTGCACATGTTTACTTGCCTCCTTTTGAAACAATGGTGTCAACGAGTCAAAGGTCTGGATGCTACCCTCATTGAAAGTAAACAGCAAGGTTCGTAGCCACTCTTCTGGTGTATGGCGCAATGAATCCAAGATGGGGTGCATGATCTGCAATCTTCCAGTCAGCCACGTTGCTTGGTTCTAGACCACGATACTTACCAGTTCCCCAAAGTTGTAGATGCTGTCCGACAAGAATGCGCTCAGGCTCAGATCCTTTGCCCTCTCGAATCGTTGCTTGCTCGATAGATCCGTGTCAATATCAACGCAGGCGAGGTACAACAACGAGTGCCGGTAGTAGGGTGCATATTCGCCTTTTAGCTGGGAGGCATAGATTAATAAATGAATGACTATGATAGAAAAAATGCACGTACCTTGTGATAGTCAGCCTTCACCTCGTAAAAGGCAGCATTGACGCTTTTGTCAACACCGTCTACTCCTTCAAGCAGCTTTCCGGCCTCTTCTAGATCAGCTCGTGAGCCCAAAACGTCTGCAAATAGCAACTTGGCGTGTGCCACCGTGGCCAATACCAATGCATAGGCTTGAGGGTACTCGTCAATTGGGATGCGGTCCTTTAGAGAAATGAGGAAGGGGAGATGCTCGGGCGATTCAGCTTTGTAAAACCAAATTAGAAATATTATTCCCGAATATAATGTCAGAATATTCCAGGCGTCTGGTAAGA